TGTGTGTGTGTGAGGGAGATCAGGCCTGTGCTAACATCCGCCAGTCCTCCTCTCTTTTTGTTGAGGAAGACTGGCCCTGGGCTAACATCCGTGCCCATCTTCCTCCACTTTATGTGGGAGGCCGCCACAGCATGGCTTGCCAAGCCAGTGCTTTGGTGCGTACTTGGGATCCGATTGGTGCGTGCCCGGAATCCGAACCAGCGAACCCCGGGCTGCCACAGCAGAGTGCATACACTAACCGCTTGTGCCACCGGGCCGGCCCCGCCTTAGGATAAATTCTTAAAGGCAGAATTGTTGATTCAAGAGGGTGCTATGTTTTAAAGACTTTTGGTATGTATCGTACCAGGAAATATGAACCACTTTATGCTTCCTTCAGCATTGTTCATTTCTCCACACTCCTGCCAAAACCGAGCATTACTATTCTTTTTAATCGTTGCCTATCTGATAGGCAAAAAAATAGTAGGGCATCGTTTTCATTTCTTTGATTATTAGTGAGTCCAAATATCCCTTCTGTAGAAAAACATTTTTGAAGGAATAATATTTTTCTGAGAACAACTGCACAAAAAATCAAATCAACTTCAAAAAGAGAAATTGAAATGGAACCGATGCTCAGAGTAATTTAATATAAGACAATTGCCTATTTAGTGACAATAATACCAATCCAGCTTTAAAAATTATTGCCCAAATGCACTGATCTACCAAAAAGCAAGGGCAAAATATAGATTTAGAATTTCTTCATTTGGAAAAAAAAAGGAATAAGAAAAAAAAAACACTAGACTGAATTTAGCCCAAGGAAATGATATGTACATCATTGATGCTATATGTAACATCAATATTGGACTCAGGTCATCAAATGAGGGGGACCAGTTTGTAAATCCCAGAGCATGTATGTCTAATGGTTTTATCAAGAAATGTGAAAGACACCAAGGATTGAAAGACAAAGATTGAGTTTAGAAAGATCCCATGAAACTTGTCAATAGAAAATATTTTGATTTAAATTGTACATCAATTTGAAAAGTTGTCTGTAAATAGAATTTTTGCAAGTGGAAATAGCTTAAATGCACTACGGAAACTCATAAATCACCTTACTGACAGTTTCATCTGTAAATTTGAAATTTTGCATTTGAAATTTTCTTAAAAGAAGACCCATCTTTGGGGGCATCTCAGGTTTTCTTCATGTTCTCCTCTCATCTTGAAAGGATCATTTAAGATCCCTTGAGATGGGAAAATTCCATTACTCTATGGCCTGAAGGATGAAGATTTAACCCAAACTTCTTAATAGCCTTTAATGTCCCACCACAGCTCATTTCTCTCAATAATTTCTTTTGTAACTTATCCAATTCAAGGGTAATTTCAGGCAAATTTAATCAGTATGTTTTTGTTTATGTTTATAGTAACGTCTTGGATGTTTTACAATCTCTCTTTGTTGTGTAGGGTACTTAAGGAGTCTTTTGAATATGGTGTTTGGTTAAAATAAATAGAAAGTAAAACTACATCTTTGGAAGAGAAGTACTGTGCTCCCCTAGGATACACAACTGTGCCAAAGTTGAAAGGGGTTTCCTTTGATCCAAGACAATTAAATCAGGCTAACTGACCAGAGCCCTCTTGAAAGTGGCTGCCCAACAGAACTGTGTTATTTAATATTTGCTTTCCTTAGATTCAATTTCATTTTCTTTTTTTTCTCTTTGCACTTGTTTCCCTTGCCCCCATCTCCATGCACTCTGGTCACACTGAAGTATACTCCTGGTTCCCCAGATATGCCATGTAATATCACCCATATGTGCATCTGCTCATACTGTTCCCTCTATTCAGAAGGAGGTTGCCAACTGCCAGCTTATGGGCTGCATCTAGCCCACAAATATGTTTTATTTGGACTTCACTGTATTTTTCTTTTAAGTTTCAGCCAACATTTAGAAGTCAAAAAATTTCACATGAAATTCTGCATTTCTGGCCTTGTTTGAAAAAAGGAAACTCTGGCAATATTGTGTCTGCTTTTATTCAAGGTAGCCATCAGCTGTGGCTGAATGACGGCTCTTCTTTCTAGATGGAGCTGGTAGTTGACTCTGACTTTGTTGAAAGAACGAACTTGGCCTCATTTAGTTACTTAAATTATCTGCTTGGCTACTTTAGGTTGAGTTTGAGACTTCTGCTAGGAGATATGATACAAAGGACAAAAAGACACAGGCTTTGCCCTCTGGGATATTATCTAATTAGGGAGATAGGGCATAAATATTTGACTAAGTAAGACTATAAATGTTAAAAAGTCACAGGATCTATTGTAGTGCTGTGAGAATTTACTAGACGAATGTGAGAAAAAAACAAATATATGAAATTAGGGATTATGAGTTTAGAGACAAGGGAAATAAAAATAGGTAATGTTTGTTGAATATTCACTATGTACCAATCACTTTTCTAATGCTTTATGTATATTAATTTATTCACATAACAATTCTATGAGGAGGAAATATTATCCTCAATTTACAAATGAGGACACTGAGTCCTAGAAAAGTTAAGCTTGAGGCCTTGTAGCTGGTAAAGTGGAAAAGCTGAGGTGTGTTAACATAAGACCATATTGTGTTGGAGACCATTAGACTTGGAGACAGGCCTGATCCAAAGTGTGTTGCCTGTGTACCATTGGGCAAATCAATTAAGTGCTCTGAGTCTGATTTTACTCCTCTAATAATCATTTTCATCTTCCTTCTCTAAGAGGGAGATTGTGATGGTTGGAGGGGGTGGGGGCAGTGAATATGTGCTTTGTAACTGAAAAGCATGAGGAGGCCAGGGGTTCCCATGGAGGAGACACAAATCTGATTCATCAAATTATAGGACACTAGTTGGGTCACATTAACTAGTGCAGCTCTTCTCAATCTGCAGAGAGCCCAGAAATCACCTGGGGATCTTGTTAAACTTTGAATTCTGATTCAGGAAGTCTGGGCTGGGGTCCAAGATTCTGCATTTCTAACAAACTCACAGGTGATGCTGCTGCTGCTCCTGGTCCAGGGACCAAGCTGAGTAGCAAGGAATAGTAGAAGGGTTACAGTGCATTAACATGTCAGTTGCAAGGGCATGGATCTTCTCTTCTGTTTCCACCTTCTGCTCACCAGAGGTTAAGAGGCCTTCTCAGAAGCTCTGTCCTCTCCTTCCATGGAACCAGCCTGATAGTGAGATCCTGATTTTGAAGTCTAGACTAGGGCAAGGGAAGGTGCCCTTTAGTACCTGTATTATCAGAGTTCTAAGCAGTGGCTTGGGGGCCAGAGCCATAGTTAACAATAAGTTATCACTTTACTTTCCGTTTGTGCCTGTTTGTAACTCAAGACCTCACAGGAGGTGGGGGTGCTTGTAGCCTGGGCAAGATTCGTGTAGGCATTCATTCATTCGGCAAATCTTTATTGAGCACCTACCATGTCCCTGTTTCTGTGCCTGGCATGGGGTCTCTGGCTTTACTACTATCTAATAGTGCCCCCAATTCCACCTTAAACCTTTGCAGAACTATTCACATATATGACACTGTAATTACATGGAAGTAGGTTGGGGAATCAATGGAGAGGTTCTACCCTTTGTATAAATAATGGTTGTAGCAGACACCGTTTGCTACCTACCCAACATCCATTCCTCTTTTCTTTCTTGCTGATGGGAACCCAGTTTTGTTCAATTATTTATTTCCCTACATGTGACTCAGGGCAGGGTAGTGGTGGTAGAGTGGGAACCACCTCTTACCAGCTCATAAGAGATGATTGCTAAATTTTCAGGAAGTTTGAGAGTCGGTTAAACACAGCCATTATTAAAAATAAAATTATATAAACTTATTATTTGATAAATTATATTAAAAAGTACTCAGAACTCATTACTTCCTAATTATTTTACTATTATCTATGCTTTTAAGATTTTGCATGTCTGTTATATCTATATGGTGGAGACAATTTAAATGATGTGCTACTGCACATCTCTTCCAAACTCCATGTCCAGTAATAGCACCTTAGTAGCCTGAAATTTGCCATGGTAGGTATATTTACACCACAGAAATTGGCACACGCTATAAATCAAAGCTTTGATTTTTACCCTGGGTGAGCCAGTTGTTGAACATTTACCAGCACATCATCGGGTAATCTTATCCCTACCTTCAGGAGAAAATTCTAATTGATCTAAGTTAAACAAGGTAGCTCTATTTCCCTTCTCTTAGGAATGTGACCCAATTCTGGCCAATGAGACATGAAAGTTGCTCTGTTGGGGAGTTTTTTGGAAAGCTTTTCTTGCTTCAAAAAAGGAGACAGGGTAGAGATGGGCTCTTTCTGTTTCTGCCCATATGATGTCTGGATGTGACATATCTGGACTTTCACAAGTTATTACAATGCCAAGGCAGGATTAACATGCATTTTGTTCTTTTTTTTGTTTTTATTTTTTTGGACCTCGTGTTCAGAGAAAAAAATTTAGTATGTATTTTTGATATTTTCTCTTCTAGAGGGGACCCCGATAGATGTGACATCTGGGGAAATACTCCTTTACATTATGCAGCCTCCAATGGTCATGCCCACTGCGTCTCATTCCTGGTCAACTTTGGTGCCAACATCTTTGCCCTGGACAATGACTTACGGTCTCCTCTGGATGCTGCTGCCAGCAGAGAGCAGAATGACTGCGTTGCTCTCCTGGATAAGGCTGCCACTGCCCATAACATCATGAACCCCAAGAAGGTCGCCAGGCTGAAGGAGCAGGCTCAGAAAAATGCCAGGAGGCAGATTAAAGAGTGTGAGAGGCTCCAGGAGAAGCACCAAAATAGGATGGCCCGCACCTACAGCAAGGAGGAATCTAGGACTCTTTCTTCTTCCAAGGGCACTTTCCCCAGGTCATCCCTTTCAAATGCTTCTGCTGCCAGCACATTTGGGTCACTGTCTAAGGGCATTAAAGATACCTTCAAGCTAAGGTTCAAGAAGAACAAAGATACAGCAGAGCAAGTAGAGAAGGAGAGCAGAAGTGGGCAAAGAAACATGATGGAAGTGTTCAGAGAGGAGGAGGAAGACGCATTCTCAGGGGACTTCAAAGAGAAGCTCCAGTTCTCAGAAGAGGAGGACAGCTGTGTGCAACATGAATCCATTCTCAACCGTCCAGGTCTAGGAAATATTGTTTTTAAGAGGAACAGAATATCAAGCCCCGAAGAGATCTCAGACAGCAAGAGGGAGTTGGGATTTAAGATGCCCAGTGAAGTGCTTCAAAGACAAGGAGGAGCAGAGGCTGATGAAGCTGAGGCTGATGAAGAGGGAGAGGAAAACAGCCATGAAGATGATCTGCCTTGGGATGAGGATGAAGTGGAGTGGGAGGAAGATGGGGTTGATGCCACTCCTCTGGAAGTGTTCTTACAGTCCCACCACCTGGAAGAATTCCTTCCCATTTTCATGAGAGAGCAGATTGATTTAGAAGCTCTGTTGCTTTGCTCTGATGAGGACCTTCAGAACATACAAATGCAGCTGGGTCCAAGGAAGAAAGTTCTTAATGCCATAAACAGAAGGAAGCAGGTGCTCCAACAGCCTGGGCAGCTGGTCGACACCAGCCTCTGATGGAGTGTGAGGTCAACAGGGTAAGCCTGTGGCAGTGGGGTGACCTGTGGCCCACTGCAGCACTCCAGACAACAACCCCTCTCTACCCAATGCCAGACCACTCAGAATGGTTTCTGGGGCATCTAGGAGATGCCCATCTAAGAAAGAGGCTCAAAATCTACTCTGAGAAATACTCTATACATGTCCAAATAAACCACCAGTGAGAAACTCAAGGAGAGCTGGGAATAAGAAAATGATGTTTCTCTTCAATTGTCTTTTTGATATTTTTGAATATAGAAAGGGGTAAATGGATGACAGAGAAGAGAAAAAGCTTTCTTTGCTTTTCCGATTCTGGACTTAAAATTATAATCTGTCATCACACTAGCCTGCCATTTACTTTCTGATCCTTACAGCCTGGGGATTCTAACTCCAGTTCTGGCCTTAGCTCTATGACCTTGTCTGTTGGTGGAGATTAAAGTTCCTCCTCTGGCCTGAGATTTGATGCCCAACTTAAATGTATCTAACCCTTCAACAGATGTTTACATGTTTACAAGTAATAGAAATGGGTCTATAATACTTCTGCCTGAGAACAGAGACAGAGTGGCAGGTAGGAAGAATGAAGAAAGAAATAGAATATAGGGTACCTGTTGTGGACTGAATTGTGTCCCTCCAAAATTCATATGTTAAAGCCCTAACCTCTAATGTGGCTGTATTTGGAGACAGGACCTTTAAAGAGGTGATTAAGGTTAAATAAGGTCATAAGGGTGGGGCCATAATCCCATATGACTGGTGTCCTCCTAAGGGGAAGAGACACCAGGGATGCACATACACAGAGAAAAGGCCATGTGAAGACACAGCAAGAAGGTGGCCATCTGCAAGCCAAAGAGAGAAGCCTCAGGAGAAACCAGACCTTCCATCACCTTGATCTTGGGCTTCCAGCCTCCGGAGCTGTAGGAAAATAAATTTCTGCTATTTAAGCCACCCAGTCTGCGGTATTTTGTTATGGCAGACCTAGCAGACGAATATAGTGCCTAAGCAAGAGAGTGGGGGAGGAGAGAAAGAAGAATATAGAAAAAATATCTTGCCTATTTGATGATTTTTCTAAGGGTAAATGCCTCCTGAAACTTAAAGGAAAAAAAAAATCTAGGTTCTTTGTAGGGAGAATTTGATTGTAAATTTTACATTTTCATGCTCATTATGCACATATCTTTTATTTATTGTTGTCTGTCACCATTGCTGCATGTCTGAATACATGTGGGTTCTACAGTATAAACTGGCAACATTGCTGCTGACATTTTTTGAACTGCAATCCCAAATTCAAATTGAAACTCTACTGAATAGCTAAGCTTCATTGGATTTTTATAGCCAGACTTACATCAAGTGGGATTTACCATCAATTATGTGTATAATATAGAAACAGCTGTTTATCTTCAGCATGCTTCCTGATTCACATCTGTTTTGGTTACTTCAAGAGGCACCATGGAGCAGATAAGCTTAAGGAGGATACAGATGCTCAAATCTGATGAACAATTGGCTCATTCTTCCTCAATGGTTGGATTCAGAAAGGTTGTCAGTCACAGAATAAATATGTTTAATCATGTTTACAAATATTGCATTTTGTTGGTTGGAATAAACTGAAGTTGTATTTGCTTTAAAAAATGTGCATTAAAGCAGTTGGCACATAGAAAGCACTCAAAAAAAGTTTGTAGCGTCTGAGCCTGCCTGTATTAGTACTTCATTATTTTAGATGCCAGGATCCTCTCTCCACGTATTCCCCAGAACCCGCCTGATGAGCCACTCGTTGCTAGGATATAGGAGAATAAGCCACCAGGGGAGTGCTGTTGTTAACAAAAAGGATGCTCTCCAGTAGTGCTTTGTACATCATTGTCAGATGTAAAAGTAATATAGAAAGCCTGGTGATGTATTCTAGCAAACGAGAGGCAGCATGAGGTGGTACGAAGAATTCTGAGCTGGAAACCAGCATTGCTACTTGGAGGATAGAATATAGTGTTATGGAAATGGAAAGGTGCTCTTTGGGAGAATGAGAAAAGGCAGGCCAGTGGAAATGTCACCTGAACTCAGCATAATAGGATTTAGTTCTGCTTACTCTTACCCTTGCCGCCTCCCTCTAGTCTAGGTGGAGTACTTTCCCTAGCTGTGCAGGCCATCTTCTGTTTAACCCTCCAGAACCTTTCTCTGTAATTTTCCACCCTCCTCTGTGTCCCAGTGGCTGAACTCCGTGGACTGCATCAAAGGGCTCCCTCGCCCCTGGGCTTCTGGTTGCGTTTGGCCAATGGGAGATACCATCAGGAGACTAGAGGAGGAAAGAGAGATTGAGACATTTATTCCACCTGTTTCTTCCTTGTTTGGCAGCCCTCTGCTATAGCTCCAGGGCTTGCTGGGTTCCTCACTGCTCTTGCAAACTCAGCAGTGGTAGCAATGTCTTCCTGTTGCTAGCCTCGGGCTGCTTCACCATTCCCTTCTGGTTCCTTTAACTCTGCCCTCTCCTTTCTAAACGGTCTCTTTGTTAAATTCTCTTCAAACACCACTTTTGAGTACAGCATCTATTTTCTGCTGGGCCCCTGTACCATATGTCCCTATAACACCAAAGCATGGTCCTGTGATTGCCTTTTTACGTATCTGTCTTCCTAGACTGTGTACTCTTTGTGGGGGAGGACTACTTCTTTTCTGTTGTATCTCAGCGGCCTAGCACAGAGTATTTGTAAGGGCTCTTATGGAAAGAACAAAAGAAGAAATCTATAAACGAATTAAGGCATTTTAATAATCTCATCATCACACACCCTTCTGTATACATCCCTTAGGGTTGTGACCATTAAGTTCCCCAGAAAGACTCCACAGTCAGTTGAGGTGTGCAGAAGCAGATCACATGGGTATTTTATTCCAGTGCAAAGGCCGCTGTCCAGACAGCCTGACAAACATGATAAACTTTTGGCTAAGCTACCTGGAGCGTGAAGAGGACCTGCCAGGAGGGGTTTGGGTAGGAACAAAGTAATAGAACATGATTTTCTTTGCTGCTGACTTATCTGATAACCAGCCTAGGGGTGGGGGTGGATTTGGATGGGGCCTTTGGCAGGACAAGGGCAATACAACTCTGTTAGTGATTCAGGGGAGCTGGAGGAAGCATCTCTACACCTCAGTTTCCCCATCTGTAAGTTGAGGAGGTTGGACTATGTGATTCCTAATCGTCCTTTCAACACTGATACTATAGTGGACAGCTATAGATTTGTCTACCCAATACCCTTCCTCCCTCTTTTTGGGAAGAGACCCCTTCCCTTCTGTCATCTCATGTGGTCAGATGGGCTGACTGAACTCCTGACTTCAATGTGGGCATCAGATTGCCTTGGATGCTGCGATGATTCAGGGATAGGCCCATGGCCCTGGCCTGTGCCGGAGTAGTCCATCTCTTTTAGCCACAGTGTTAGGCAAAGAAATGGTCACATGACCTAGATGGTCCACTGAGTCCCAATTCTGGAACTTTCAACTCTTAAGGATGAGAATCTCTATTTCTTTTAGGGTTGCTGAAGAGGACAGCCTATGATTCAGGAGCTCCTGGCAAACACCCTGCCACTACCAGAGGATAGCTTGCTTGATCATGGAGCCAACACTGAAGAAAACAGAGCTGAGGGATGGAGAGAGCAAGACTGGGTCCTGATGACACCTGGAGCCCCTGGATACAGTTGCAGCTGAAACTAGTTACCTGTGTACTTCTTAATTATAAGAGCCAATAAATTCCATTCCTTATTCATTCATTCATTCAGCTTAAGGTAGTTGGAGGTATTATCTGTATCACTTGTGACCAAAGGAGTTCTGACCAATATAGAAACTCCATCGTTCCTTGAATTATAAGCCAGAAACCAAAAGCTATTGTATGACCCCATTTATATGAAAAGTCCAGAAGAGGTAAATCCATAAAGACAGAAAGTAGATTACTGGTTGGCAGGGGCTGGGAAGAAGGGAATGGGGAGTGACTACTAATGGGTACCGTGTTTCTTTTTGGGGTGATGAAAATGTCCTGGAATTAGACAGTGGTGATGGTTGCACAACTCTGTGAATATACTAAAAACCACTGAATTGTACACTTCTGTGAATTTTATGGTACGTAAATTGTATGCCAATTTAAAAAATAGAAAAATATTTAATTATAGTCATTGGATCTGCCCCAGGGAGTGAGTGGAAGCACTTGATCCCTTTAGTTTCCTTGCCATGAGGGATAGAAGTTACCAAAGAAGAACTGCAGAATTGGAAAATGCTTTATTTCAGGGAATTACAGAAGTAGTGAAATACAAGGGGAAAAAGTGCTAGTATAGTCTGGTGTGACAGAAGAAATGGCCACCTAGTTTTGCTTTCCAACTACAAACATAAGTGGGGATCTCATTATTCAGGGTAAGACATGATAAGCACAAAACATAGCTCACTGGGCACTGGGCTCCCTCATTTGATCTAGAAATTATGAGACAATTGGTGGCAACATCCCTTGAGCTGTAGTATCCACCTCAATGCAAAGTTCCTTCATTTTATTTACCAGACGACCAGGAATCATACACCAGCTTGGCTGCAACCAGGTCTTCTACCGCCATTCCTGGAATGGACAGAAATTTGGTTCACTCTTTGTCAGAACTTCTCCTGAAACAGCCCAGGCCCCTTGGCTGGCAGTTTCCTGATACATTGTCTGTGCTGCTAATACTCCTCATGGACTGATAGCAGAGGAGAGCTCAGGCTTGGAGGATCTGCGAAGGGCAGGGCAAGGCAGGGAATATGATACTAAGCAAGACATGCCCACCAAACAAATTTTAAGTATCCTTCAAAGTTTAGTTCAGGGGTCAGAAAGCTTTCTGTAAAGGGCCAGATGGTAAACATTTTAGGCTTTGCAGGCCATATGGTCTCTGTTGCAATTACTCAGCTCTGCAATTGCAGTGCAAAAGCAGCCATAGGCAATAGGTAAACAAATGAGCCTGGCTGTGTCCAATAAAATTTTCTTTATGGACAATGAAGTTTGAATTTCATAAAATTTCCATGTGTCACAAAATATTTTTTTGTTTTTCTTTTTTCCAATCATGTGAAAATGTAAAAACCATTCCTAGCTTGTGGGCTGTACAAAAACATTTGGTGGGCGGGGTTTGGCCCACAGGCTGTAGTTTGCTGACCCCCGGTCTAGTCCAGACCCTGCATCCTTTAGCAGCTCCCCTTTGTCTTGTAGTTTTGGTTACATAACTTAACCTCTAATGGGTACATGTTCTTAAAGCGTGGGGGC